ATGCGCCTAGACAGGATCGTGGCCACATCGTTCCCAACTGGCTCCCGCTTGGCTTCCTGCTCACGCTGCTCCTGGACCTTTTTCAGCTGAATTCCTGGAAACAGGGCACATAGTTTAGAATCAAATCCCTTCACAAGTTCCAAGTTGAAGAGAGTTTCACGACCCAAAAATGTACACCAAACTTGTAACTTTTTTTTATAAAAAATTAATGTGTTAAAGTATTAAAAAGTTATAATTTCAGTATACATCAATACCAAGAAAGAAAATTCTAGAGCTGTGCTGTCCCAGATGGCAGCCGCCAGCTTAACATGTAGCTCTTTAAGCATAAATTGGTAAGTGTAGAGGCTACCAGCTGGGACAGTGCAGACTGGATCATTTCTACAACCATAGAACACCTGACTGGACAGCATCATAAGCCAAAATTTTGGAAACAGTTCTATACTACTAGCCCTCAGCAACCCTGAGAAGTAACTAAGAAACTTATTTCAACAACTATTGTTGGAAACAGATATAAAATACAATCATTTACTTTCTTCCTTAATAACAAAATAAGTTATCTGGTGATTTAATATTTATCCATTCATTTATTTAACTTTTTGTTTGGCAAAAATTTCAGATATATAGACCAACTATAAGACCAGTGGGAAAACATTCCCATAGACTCTATACCCAGATTCCCCGACTGCTAACGTCTGATCACATCCGATTCCCAATCCTTCTCTGTCATCCTCTGTCACACAAGCACACACAGACACTTTTCTCTGGACCATTTGAGGGTAACAACTGGCATGTAACATCCTTTATCCCTAAAATACTTCACATGTTATTTCCTTTAAAAAAATCAAAATCAGAAAATTATCACAAATATAACACTATCTACCCTACAAATATTATTAAAATTTTGCTAAGAGACTCACTGTAATGGCAAATGGAAAAAAATTCCTCAGTTCAGGATCCCAACTGGGATCACTATTGGTGTTTATGTTTTGTTAATGTCCTTTAATCTGGACAGTTTTTTAGTCTTCATGTTTTATGACCTTCCGTTTTTGAAAAATACATGCAGCTCCTGGGATACACCCTCCAGTTTGGATATATCAGATACTTCCTTGTGATTAGATCCAGGTTATGACCAACTCTTCCTAGGTGGGGGTTACATATGCAAGAAAAGCAAATCCAACATATTCTACCCGAAATTTGGTATCTGTGAGTGACCTATACCTCTGGGACTTTTTTCTTTGACAAAGTGTATCAATGACATTCAAGATATACAGAGAACCCTGGGGTCTTAAGGAAGGTGTGTGTGCCACACGTTGGGTCTGATTCACAGGCGTACAAGCAAAACACAGAAGCAACAAGACCAGAACATCTTCTGAAGGACGTCGCCAGCACTGACTCCTGGGCTGCTAAGCCTCTGTCCTTACTCCTTACTCACCTCCCAGTGAGACAACTACCTGTGACCAAGAGCCTGTGTAGTTCCCCACCATGCAAGAAGCTCTTGGAATAGTCCCAGATCACGTTGGTGACCCTCAACCGATCTGGGCTCTAACCTGGTTACAAATGAACAGTGTGTGCTGCAGGTTTTCACTGGGGGCTGTGAGGGAAGACCAAGACGGGTCCAGGCTCCCCACGATTCTACCCTAGATGCTCTGCTTCTCCATGCTTTGTGGCCTAGGGGTCAATATAAGACTTTCTTCTGACAAAAGGATTATGTTGTTAAATAAATGCTGAAAAACCACTGATAATGCATCAAGTTAGGACCATGACAAGTCCAGGACATGCTGTAGGTTATTTTTTAAAAACTACATCATCTTTCTTCATTTATACTTGTACCCTTATAGAGGAGACTGCAGAGAAGAGATCCAATTAATTAATTGGTCATCTCTGTTACTGGATTTCTGGTTTTTACTGAAGGATGGCTTCCTTAAATTCTGAATTCTTTATCATAACGAGTTTATTTTACACTGGCAAAACACATTATTTAAAAAAAAATTGAACAAATTGTTCTTTAACACTAACGAACAATTTAATGTAGAAGAAAGCAGGCACTTGAGACAACTCAGCTGTACCTAGTTCTTGACATAAAGACATCTCCTCCCAAGAGCAAGGCTGTGCATCTGGGGTGCTCTACTTACCCATCCGAATAGCAGCAAGGAGATCGCTCCGGGCATCACTAACTGGTGGCTGTGCAGGCTCCTGTCGCTTGGCCTCCGCTGCTGGGGGACCATGCATTGGGGAGGATGACAGAGAAGACCCCGGCCCAGGTGGGCCTGGTGGGGGTGGCGGTGGGCCTGGGGGAGGTGGAGCTGCAGCCAGGAGCCCCGTGGAGGGAGGGTGAGGAGGCCCTGTGTAGGTGGAGCCGGCTGGTGTGGGGAAGGAGGGCTGCACGGGGATCTGGAGAGGGCTGACAAAGGCAGTTTGTGCAGAAGGAATCACAGGGGGTGGTGGCGGTGGAGGTGGTCCTGATGGATTGTAATACTCAATTATCTGTGCTGGGAGCATCCTAAGGGAGAGAAGAAACACACAGAGTCACCAAAGGAACAAGAGGGTCCAGGCCTCTGAGTCCCGATACACCTCAGGGAGAGGCGTCCACAGCACAGATTGTCCCCTGAACTCAAAGGTTGGCAGCATGCAAACATCTACTCTCTGGGTCACTTATTTTTAGAGTTCTACATTATTCGTTATGAGGGAATTCAAGATCTTCTACGGAAATACACCAAAAGGAAGACCACTCCAAAAGTGAATTAATTTTCTGTGGAAAGCTAGAATAGGGTAATTGGCCATAGAGATGAGAATAGCACCAACACTGCTTCCTTTATACGGGGCACCTCACAGGTGGCTCACAAACTTGCCTTGTCAGGGTTCTATGGTCAGCCAGGTTAGGAAAATTCTGCCTTTAGCCCACCCCTCACGCCAGCTCCCTACATCCACAGTGCCCAGCAGAGTGTCAAAAGCCTTGAAAAGTCACACAGCTGAGAAATCTGCTGACGTCTATTTAGGCCAGTGGTTCTCAACCTTCCAATGCCTTCTAGTACTGTGACCCTTTAATACAGTTCCTCATGTTGTGGTAACCCCCAACCATAAAATTATTTTCGTTGCTACTTCATAACTGTAATTTTGCTACTGCTACGAATCCTAATATAAATATCTGATATGCAGGATGTATTTTCATTGTTACAAAGGGGTTGCAACCCAGAGGTTGAGAACTGCTGATTTAGGCAAAGGTTTTCCAAACCAACTGGACGACTTTCCAAACCAAGTTTCCAAAGCAACTGCACTCTTTGCCTGACAAAGCCTCAAAACACACTTTGGGAAGACTGACTTAGCAATGGCAGCTAAGAAACCTCCAGGCCAGTGTGCACAGGGAGATAACTGACAGCTGAGGGACGTACATTCAGAAAGGGGTCAGGGACACTTATCACTCTGGGTGGAAGAACACACATGTTAACCCAGATGCATGTTCAACTCTCCAGGCACTGAGTCTGCAGGGACAAACCCTTTAAAGATCAGTGTTATGCCACAAAAAGAGCCCAAACCTGCCTATCAGAATATACGTAGCTGCCTGTGCTGATGTTAGAAGTACCTTAATTCTACCTGACAGACCAGAGGCAAAATGATGTGTGTGCCAAGAGGTCAAGAAAGGAAACTATATGGCCAAGAGTTAAGACCCACAAGCTGCTTTACGTGGCTTTCTCAGTCGTGATCAGAGTTCTCTGTGATCCACCCAGGATGGGTGGAGATTCGTGAGGGTGTGGGACAGCTTCACAAAGTTACCGTTTCATCCTTTACCGATGCCCTGGCTTACAGCGCCACTCAAACACACAGAAGTCTGTGTGTAAGGACTGTGCGTGCCTGAACACAGACATGCACCTGAGATTTCACTATAATAAAAATGGGGGAGTGGTAGGGCACTATACCTACTTTATTTAACACAGAGTCTGGCAGAAGTACTAGTATCTGTGTCCAATCATTGACTATATTCTGGCCTCTACAGTATCAAAGCTAAAAATTCTTCTACCACATGTAGCAAGATCCCAAGTGCAAGAGCAAGCAGGGATTAGAGTACAAGGAATACCCATTTACCCATAGTCTGCTGGAGCCATCGGTGCGGAGGCCTGGGACCCCTCTGGGGCCTGTGGAGGAGGTGGGGGCGGCGGCTGCTGAGGTCTGTTTAGGGCCATGTGCCTGGCTGAGGCTGAGGGTGGCCGGTACTCATGCTCAGGCACCTGGCTTGCAGGCCCATGCGGCGGTGCATCACCAGCTGCGTATGAAGGGGTCGGCTGGCTGGGGGTGCAGAGAATGGTTGGGAGTAGCTGGATAAGAGTAATCCGTGACATCCGATGCATGGGACCTGACATTCCCGAAAAAGGGGTGGGAGAAATTTAAGTTAAAAATTTTCCTCCCACAGACACAAACATGTATTTGAATAAGAACACTGCCAATGCACAGATATCAGACATTTATTTCCTTTACTTTCAACTAGGTCTAGCCCCATGAGAGCTTCTGAGCAACAACATAATTACTATTTTAGTAGCAAGCCCCAGTGTTACATGGATTCAGATTCACAGCTTTGAAGTGAATAAGTCAGACAGATTGGCAAGCAGGAAACAGCAGAGCCTCATTTCACAGTATTTCAGCATACTTCTTCTCTAAGAGACGCTACAAGAAAAATTCCATTTAATTTAGAAACAGCATCTAAGATAGAGGATTTCAGTGGCAATGAAACTGACAGCATATAATTAGAAAAATATAGAATGGCAGGTGAACTAGATAAATATTAACAGTAAGAACAGAAAAAGAACATGAGAATGCAATACAGTCAATCATATTTTTCTTAAACAGAAAAGATGTATTTAACCAAACGAGAAGGAAGCAAGGCAGCGTGCTATGGAAAGGTCTTCTTTCCATTGTTTTTCTTGCACACACATTTGAGTGTGAAACTCTGAAAGAAATGGGAATCTCGTATTAGTGCAGCAGAGTTCAGAAAGCTGCTGGGACTCCAGCTGTGCCCTCAGGAGCAGAGCCAGGACTGTGAGTGAGTGTGACAGCCACGCAGCAGCGCCGGGGGCATTAGTAACAGTCACTCGCGCCTGCCCCCGGGTTACAGGACACATTGTCAGTAGGGGCTCACATCCTCTCAAGACAGCTGAAGCAGGGGCGTGGCCTGAGGCTGGGAAGCCAAAGAAAGCAAAATGACAAACCCTCTGGGCTGTCTGTCCTCTTTCGTGCTCCCTGCCTGCTCCAGGTTCTTTGCGTCACTCATAAACTCAATGCCCATTTTCCTTCTCTCCCACTCTTCTTTTCTCGTCCTGACTTTTCTCACATTTACTTGCTGGTTTCTGTTAGGGTTCAGCTTGTGTTTCTCTCTCTGAAGGAAATATGCAAACACACATTGGGGATGGGAAGGAGCCGGGGAGATGCAAACTGCATTTTGCTCTCTCTGGAGCTTCAGACAGTAGCCTAACTGGAGCACTGGGTGGCACAGAAATGCTTTCTAAATGAGAAGAGACTCATTGTCCCTCTTTTCCCTAACTGCAGTATAATAATAACTAATAACTCATTTTTCCTTCCCTAATTGCAGTGTGGATTCTAGATTATGTTGTGCGTGTGATTATGTCTTCCGAACGATGCAAACTGCTAGCTAGTGAGTTAAAAATGTTTTTCAGGGGGAAGAATCTGACCTGTATTTAGATTTAGTATATTTTAAAAATGTAACCATCTAAAAACTCATTGACAATGTGTGCCTGACTCCATGTGACTATGTGTCACTGTGTGCAAAGCTTTCTAAAGGAAACAAAGTCCTCTGGTAAGATACAGGGTGTTCCTCATGTGTTGGTGGCAAGGAACTAGACACCCCGTGGTGTAACTCGGGGTTGCTGACCTTGTTGAGGGGCTTGAGACAGCTTGGGCCAGGGAGTGGGGGGAAGCCAAGAAAAGGGGCTAGCCATGTAGGGTCAGAGTGGAGAGGAAATGCACGCCTGAGGTCAAGATTGCAGCAGGTGATGTCTAAAGGGTAGGGCTCTAATATGGGGAGGAGGCACAAGGACAGAGGAGAGAGGACTGGTCAGTCCAAGAGGAAAGGACCGAGGAAAAGGGGATGCCCACGGGTAGAGGGAGCAGAAGGAAATGGAGCCCCTTGCCGGGGGCAGGCAGAGTCCTGAAGCTTCATGATGATCAGTGACCACCTGTCACAGAAAAAGGCTCGGGACGGCTGCAGGTGACACTACAACCAGAAGAAATAAGTACACAGTGGACACTCAGTGGGAAAGTCACTGGATCCTCCCAGCGTTTGGGCGTAGACAGGCCAGCAGTGCTGGAGAACTGCGCCAGGGCCCAGGGCAAGGATAAGAGAAAGTAATAAGGGCGTGGGAGTGTGATGCCCCGAGGAATATGACAGAGCTGGTGATACAGAGGCAGCACTTCACCAGTTCTCATCTTAAACTCACACTTAGGAACAAGCCATTCTTAACGATCTAGAAAGAGAGAGAGTAAACATTTAAGATTATATTATGTGGGCTGGATTAAACTATGTCACTTATGTGAATGGCTTATATGCATGCCATGAGAGCTGACATCACATTCCCCTCCGCTCTGAATCTTGATACACTCAGACTGGGGATGCAGCATTAAAAAGCATGTTTCTAAATAATACTTAAAACATGAGATACAATTTTAAAAAGTCCTAACAAAGAAAACATAGCATGATTCCAATTTTTTAAAAGATAAAACACATGGTTCTTTAGAAGACTAAAGAGAAATAAACTGCAACAGACACAATGGTTGCTCTGCACGGAAGGATTAGGGACAATAAATATTTAACTTGAATTTTCTTCCATAATTTCCAGACATAAAAAGCAGGTCTTATTTTATAATTTTTAAAAAGTGACACACTTTAGTAAAATAAAACATAAAAATTGCAAAATTAAAGGATATAATCCAAGTACAGTGATGGGCCATGATCTGTTAGTGAATAATGTATGCAAATAGTAAGAGGCCATGATTTGCATACATTATGACACACAGCATGACACAAAAGGAAATTGTGAGGAAATAAATCTTAATTCTATTTGCTTTTTGAAAAGTAAGAGAAACGGAGATAATACATCTAAGCAACATAAACACAAAGGCAGAATACTAGGTAATCTGAATGACTATTAATTTATCCCCAATAAGGAACATTCTAATTTCAGATGCTAGAATGAATAGTAATCATTCAGCTAGGGAATCAAAAAATCCATTAGTTTTCCAACTGCATCTATTAAAAAAGCAGTATATACGAGATAAAAACAAAGTATATATTTCACATGAATAAACAATTACAACTAAATTATTTGGAAAAAACAAAAAGGCAAACTAACATCATAGGAGTTATTTTAAGTTCGTGTATTTCTCTCTACCCCCAAATCTATGAGAACTGTATCATCATTTGTACTTTCTACAGAAATAAATCCATGTTAAAATTCAAACTTAAGGCTAGAACTAAAGTAAAACTTCAGTAATTTTCTAGTATTTCACTTGTACTGAAAAATTATTCAGAACTTGCCTCCCGTCCTACCAATGACTTCGAGATCCTCCAGGTAGTAACACTTAAGGTACTAGAAACACCAAATGCGTCTTTCACTCAGCAACCACTCACTTAGCACCCTCTACATGTTACAGTTTGCGCTGGTCACTGAGGTTACAAAGGTAAAGAGAAAAAGCAAGGACACAGATACAACCCAAGGTCTAGGCCGTTGCTGTTTAGGAAATAATCTTCAATCACATACGTAAGACTTCTCTATTCAGTTTTTAAATGCTGATGGAAGACTGTGAGAGTTTAGAAAAATGGAAGACTACTTTACAAAAACAAAAGCAGGAAATGAACAAAAAGTTAACGTTGATTAGTCCGTTCCTATCATTCAATGCATCTTTTCTGTGACAACTGTGACCTACTGACCACATTAACTCACACCTGTAAGAAATATTTTTACTTAATTGCTAACAAACTTTTCAAGTAAACTCCGACAGAGTTCTTCTCCTGAAATTAGAATATATAAGTTATCTGAAGGAAGAAACAAATCTCTGTTTTGTTCATCACTTTTTCGATGAGGTCATCAAAAGAAACAATGAAGGTTTTCCCGAGTCACATTAGTTACTACCTACCAATCACGTTTAGCAAAGGAAATTCAACATCTCAAACTAAAGAGAAAGAGAAATGATTACTAAAACAAAAATTAAGTCATTGGTAGTTACCCCAAATTCAAAATCAGTGTTAAGACGACTATATCTAGATTAAATGAACATTTAAGTCACAGAGATTAATTTTAAAAAAAGGAACCAAATGTAAAATAATACTGCCTTAAAGTATTTCAAAGTCAAAATATAGATAACTTTTAAGGAGAAGTCTCAAAACATATTGTGGGCCGCATAAACCCCAAAGCCACTGTTGCATTTCAAATCACAGTAAAATCAGAAAGGACCCAGTGGCCCAAAGCATCAGGTCTGAGGGGGCTATGACACACACACACACCTAGTGTCTGGGGACAGGGATCCCTCGGAAGACGCTCCGTGGTACACACTCTGAGACAACCTGTTGTCGGGTCTAAGCTCTTTGTCATATGCCATCATATTCCACTCCTGGCGCCTGTTTCTGGCTTTTCTAACCTTTTTCACCTCACGGGTGGTGCCATCTATACGCTTTTGCTCCTGATGTCCAGGAAAAGAAAGAAAGCATGCCAAGACAGAAAGGAAAGGAAAACAGCAGGTTAAACGCAGTTATAATGAACAGGACCCAAGCCAAGACAAGAGACATTCGCATTTCTATTACCCTAATGTTAAGAATATTCTAAAGAAATAAAGTCTCTCACTCAACAGACTCAACAAAAATAACTCATACTTAGCTTTCTAACTAAAAAGCAACTGCACTAGAACTACAAAGGTTGCTTACCATTATTTTTGGTAAAGAACTCTCCCTTTCTTCTCTATCTGTATCATGGGTGGGACAGCTGGCAATGCCACACAGAGAAATCATTTCCCACCACCACACAATTTTGACTGACTCATTAACATGCAATTGTCTTTCAAAGAAAATAATTTAAAACATTCTATTCCTAATTTCTGGACAAATATTACAGAATATTTAAGCTAATCCTGCAACTAGCTTAATACAGAACAAAATTAAATTAAAAACTTACCTGCCCAAAGAGCCATTCTTGTTCCAGCCCTACTTTGCCAGCAAAAACGCAACTCAGTCAGTACTGAGGTCCCACAAAGGTACTTCTTTAAGGGGGAGCACAGTTATTTCTGTATTTGTCTATACATTTTTCCTGCTTCCCTCATCAGATTTTATAATCTTTAAGGATGAGAACTATGTGCCTTTATTTCCCAAACGTCCTTAATCTTGTTCTACCTCAACACTGTTTTACATAGAATGCACAGTAAGTGCTGGCTAAATGATCAAAGCCACAGCCAAGCTACAACCTCAGTTATGTCTCGGGCACTGATGACAAAGAAATAAACAAAAGCAGACATGTCTCTGCCCTCCTGGAGCTGGCAGTCCAGTAGGGAAGCCTACAAGAGGACATAAATGTACAATTATAAAATGTGGTAAAATATTATGTATTTATATTTTGAAATATAGTTACACATTTTATTATCTATTTTAAAATACTTATATACTGTTATATAAATATTTTATATCTGTATATTTAAATACATTTATATATTTAAACATACATGTATATATGTAAAACGCTATCTAGTCTGGAAGTCAGGATGTATTCTGGAATGACTCTGAGACAAAGCATGAGTAGCACTAATTCTGTAGAGGAGCATGAATCAGACACATGCCACAGGAGAGGGCGGATGGTGCAAGAGTCCTAAGGACAAGGGACAGCACTGCATTAGGAGAAAGGAAAGAAGGTAAACATTAATGGAGGTGAATGGCCCAAGATCTAAAAGGTAGGCAAGACCTTGAAGGCCCAGCTCTATGTTGCAGAAAATAGAGTGAAAAGGGAAAGATAGGGACCAATGAGAAAGTCACTGCGGTGGTCTAATGGGAAGATAGCAGGTGGCTCAGGATATAGTGAGGATGGAAAACAGGACTGTTTTCAGAGGTACTTGAGAGGCTTTGGTAATGAATCAGCAAAGGATGTAAATATGAATTCACAGAAGATATAGAAATGAAGAAATATCTGTACATCAGTATGGAGACAAGGACTGCAGTATTATAATAGCAGCAGTAACAGGTAAGTAATTTCTGAAGCATTTATGCTTTGGAATAGGGCACAACTATTAACAAGAATGAAATGCATTAATAAAGTCAGCATGTATGCATATTAAGTCTTGTATAGTCCATGTATATAAAAAAGTACTTTGTAAAATTCGTATGCATATATTTATGAATGTGTACAAGGTCTACAAAGATACATACCAAATTGTTAATGGTCGGTAGTTACTCTTAGGGAGGGGAGTCTCTTTACTTCCTTCAGTGCTAGCTGAGCATCTTACAACTAGCGTATATTGTTTGTATACTTTTAAAAACCAAAAAAAAAAAAAAAAAAAAAAATGAAGGCTGTAAGGAAGATTTTACGGTGATTCCAAAATGCATCCTGGTTAAGAACCACTCTATTAAAATATTTAATGACTATTACCTTTACTTTGTAAAAGATATAAGACATATGCTGACATATTTAGGGTTTAAGTGTTATGATATTTATAACTTTCTTTACAACAGTTTAGCCTCTAAATCTATCAATCAACATATATAAAGACACATAGACACACACACATGTGCGCACTCAAGCCAACTATGACAAAATATTAACAATGACAAATCTATACACTGGCTATAATGGCCTACATTAAAATCCCTAGAACATGCCAAACTGGTTCCTTGACTCGGAAGCCCACCCAGCTGCCTCATCTTCCCCCAACCCCAGCCCCCTTCCTTCCTACACCCTCTCTCTATTTAACTCCCATCATGTATCCTCTGCATTTCAGCTTGTGGGGCACCTTCTTAGAAGTTCTTCCATGACACTCCACTCCATGTGCACTGTCACCCTGCCAGGTCAGCTCACTTACAAAGTCCTGTACTATTCCTTCACAACACTTATCAACAGTGCCAAGACATACTTAAACTTCATACTTATTTGTGTAAATATTTTTCAATGTTTTTAAAGTATCACACTAAAGACAATGAAGTTCAAACACAATAGGTATTTTTATCTCCAAATTTTCTAAAGTTATTTTTCCTTCAGATTTGTCAACTGAAAACTGAATATGACTTAGATTTCTAAAATCCTGGGAAATGGAGAATATCTGACCTCATCCATTATTCCTATATGAAGTAGACTTTTGTTAACATTTTGAAACTTCTCTACCTCTCTCTGCATTTCAGGTGCGTATTTTTTTTTTGAGACAGAGTTTCACTATGTCGCTCTCAGTAGAGTGCTGTGACATCACAGCTCACAGCAAATCTCAAACTATTGGGCTTAAGCAATTCTCTTGCCTCAGCCTCCCAAGTAGCTGGGATTACAGGTGCCTGCCACAACATCCAGCTAGGGTTATGTGATTATTTAGTGTCCATGTCTCCCCCTACTACTGTAATCTCCATGAGGATACTAATCTTGATTTTTTCTCTATCCCTGTCTACCAAGGACTTAGAAGACATTTAACAAAGAATGATTATCTAAATGAATGAAAGAGAAATTACTATCAGATTTTCAGGTGTTTGAGAAATGAAGAATGTGGAATGAGATAAAATAGCCAAGGAAATGACAAATGGTTTTAAAGACACAATAGGTGTGGATAAAGCTATTTCCCCTTCAAGGAGAATAGAAGAAAAATGAAGTATTTTTGCCAAAAGTATCTCTAAGAAGGCCCTTTAAAAGGACAGGCAAGTTAAGAGGGTATTCTTAAAAAACCTGGTGTTTTTTCCTTTACTATTAAAAAACGTGCATATTAAAACAAACATGGCTTAAATATTACTTTTCTTTTGTTGCAGTTTTTTTTTTGTTTGTTTGTTTGGCTGGGGCAGGGCTCAAACCCGCCACCCTCAGCATATGGGGCTGGTGCCCTACTCCTTGAGCCACAGATGCGGCCCAATATTAGTTTCTTTTCTGTTCAAAAGATCAGTATCTTTCCTTCCCCACTTAAATACTTTGTAAAACTCCACAATCTTTCCAAGATCTCCCAATTAAATTTCCCCAAGCCATGAGCACAAAAACAGAGTGTAAATAACCAAGTCCTTGGAATCCCTTCCCAGAATGCAGTAGTGGTAATAATACACCTGCATAGTCTGTTTTCATGTTTCCTTAAAATCTGTTTCAAATTCTACTCCATCTCAAACTGTCACTCCTGATGGGCAATACATCTAAATGCCTCAAAACCTTAAGGCCATCCACTTGACAAGTGCTAATAAGCATTTCTCCTAACTACTAAAGATTCTAATATTTTTCATGTAAACTAGGTGCTCATTTTAAAACACAGCTGACATATAAAAATACTAGTTAATACCTGCTCTTAAAGAATTATTCTTCTCAATGACTTAGGTCTAATTTCTGGGCCCCAAAAGGAAGAATTTTCAAAACCTGAGTGGGCTTTTCCTTCCAAGACTGCTCTAACCCAGATGTTCTTCCACTTTCAGATTTGCAATTTTCTTGCCTACCACTACACTCTCCAAAAGGGAGGTTCACTGTCCGTAAATACTATTCCCTGAACATGCAGATCACACATGCTTCTCAATGCATAGAACATCTCATCAATGACTTAACTACAGGTAGGTGGCGACCCAACACTTAACTACTTTTTGTCAAAAAGACAAAAAGCACATCATCATGTCTGATACGAATGTTCACTGCCTTTATGAAAATCTGAAAGAGCAGGAGGAGAAAAGTTATAAAACTTGGTTATGAAAAAACTGAAATTTTAGCCACCACTTTGTTAAAGCAAAACAAGTAGAGAACAAATCAGATGGTATTTACTGAAAATATTATTACTATCTGAGATTGAACTGTCTCGATCTTCACTGTGAAAAATGCAACCTCCAAAAAAACTTCAGCACTAAAGCCAACATCTTGCCCATTTAAATAATGTATTGGTTTATTTCTAAGCATGAATCCATTAAGAAATTGATATGCACATTTCCCATACTGAAATTACTTACCTTCTGACGCCTTTTCTCTTTCCTCTTGTCTTCAGTGTCTTGTAGCATTTTTTCTTTCCAGAGGTCAAAGAAATAGGAAGGATCAGTATAGAACTTCAGCCCGTCCTTCTTATCATCTCTAATAATCAATGTATTAACAGGAAGGGAAAATAAAAAGACTGTCAGATACTTTTTATGTCTAGGTTAATTTTAACATGGGATCACAGAAGATCTACATGGGACATCTTAACTGTCTTATACATTAAGTTTCTAAATTTTCTTATTTGAATAAAGTATGAAAATGCACAAGGACGGCAAATCTATTCTAGAATAATTAGGTTAAAAATACTCTTGCATATTTAGAATTAAGTATGGAAAATGGTTCACCCCCCCATCACAAAATGGCTCATAAAGAGCAATTTTTAACAACTTCAATTATTTCAGGAAATGTTATGTTTATTCCAACGGGGTATGTGACACAGAGATGGACGGATCCTTAGCGCACACATATTCATTTCTACTCTGTAGCTTCAATATTAGGATAAAAATTAATCAATACTTCTTCTCAATAAGGTTTGCCCAACACCCATAAATCTAATAAGGAAAGAAGCTAAATGTTTATGGGGTATAAAAGTGATGAACTGTGTGTTTTCAAAGTGGAAGAAACCTACAGAGAACTTCATTCACCTGCAGGGACTTCATTTAAAGAACTGCTGCAGTTATGGTGGGCAAAGCATATTTCAAATCTTCATAAAATACTCGCTTATCATAAAACCAATAAAGCTGCAAATAAGGATCCAAAGTTGTCCTACGCATCAACAGTAATATTCAAAGTAATCAAAGTAAAGCTCTATTAACATTTTTAAATAGTATTTGGCCTGTAGACTTCTCTCAAGACAAAGTAGAAATTTATATTTCAATTTAGTATTTGAACAAGTCATTTAAGGCGCTTAAGAGAAACAGAATGAATTAAATGAGTATAGGAAAGAGTTTATGCCCAGTCAGAGAAAGCTAACTGAATAACTCAGGAGAAAAACAAAAAAGGTCTGTCCTCAGAGCGCCTGAAACGCCATCTCCTAGTAAGCTTCTCGGCATCTCAGACTAAGGTGGAGGATTCTACAGGATTATTCTAGTCATTGAATCCAATAATCACTAACAAGCCAGTAACTCTATACTTTAACTTTTAATTATTTAAAAACTTTCCTTTCTAATTAATAAGCAACTTGCATGATAGAGATTTTATTAATAACATTGTAAAAGAGAATGTTTCCCTAAGATATAAGGCCTTGAATGTAGGCAAAGGTATAAAAAAGCTATAAAATTTAAGATGTATACAATGTACATTCCTTTTTTTAAAAATGGAATTAGAACTTCATATAATGTGTTGTACCTCCTATAATAAGACAGTGTTGCGGCAGTATCTTATTTATGTTCAGATGCAAAAGCATATGTGTTTTATATGACCCAAATATTGTCATATTCACGAAATGCGGAGCTAACACTGATATTCTTAAACATACAGTTAAAAAGTCAAAGATATGCTTTATTTTCCATAAGACTGAACATACACATATTATAGTACATGGCTATGAAAATCAAATCATCTGTTTAATGCAATTAAAATTTGTAAATCAACACAACCAAATACTTAATCATGATCCTGACTAATCAAATGTAAGTAGTTCACTGGGTTTTCTGGGGTTTTCCCCTTTAGAACAGAAATTTTAATGAAGCTTCTTAAGTAATGCCAGGTAGGAAAAATTTAATAGCCTCCAGAAAAGAATACTTGTTACACAAAAATGGTATGGCATCTTGCTCCTCTCCCATTACAGGGTCCATGTAGTCTCTTACAGTATTTCAAAGACCACCTCCCTGTCCACACAGAAAAAAGGGACATGGTTTGAATAGTTCTTTACTTGCAGAGATATAAGACAGGGTAGCTCCAAACATTTCTTTGTAGACCCTCAGAAAGTACAGGAATTCAGATCAACAAAAAGCCTGGGCACTGTCCCTGAGGGCAGGATCATTAAGAGGGCAGTAATGGAAGGGGAGACCTCAGGAGCTTCTGACAGGACATCACTGGTAGAGCTGGCCCTGTGGCAATGAGGACCATAGGCCACCACAGCTTGTGCTGTCACAGGCTGAAGGATGAGCTCAAGAGGAGGACTCTGAGATGAGGAGAGGAACAGGATGTACCACAAAGGATGATAAGACAGAGTGTAAGAAAGAGAGACAGGCCAGGAGGTGACGCAGACATGGGTAGAAAACACTGATGTGGGGGAGGCAGGAAGGGTGTTTTTAAAAGGCATTTTTAGGTAGTCTCTTCTTCATATTAAGTTTTTTGCACTATTTATTTTCCATTCTTTTTCTTGGAAAATGGGTCCTAATAATGCATCCCACATTTTACAGTAACATAATTAATTTGCTGACTATATTTCATGCTTAAAAACCCCCAACACTGCAGAATACATTCTTTTGAATTAAATAACAAATGTCTCTGCAGAGCTGAAATGCAGAGACAGGCATTTTGCAGCATTAGAAGTGAATTATGCAATTCCTTTAAAATTGACTTTGTGAGCAATAACGACATGACCACATGTAATACTATTATAAAATATACTCATTTCTCATTAAGATAGCTACATCTAAAAGCTAAAATTAGAGCTCACACTTTTCTTGGTAAATGTATCTACATTTTGAAGTATTAAAACCTTAATAACTCTGTATCGATGGCTAATCTCATTATGTATCATAATGCAATTATTATCTTCCAAGTTTGAAAGATAATAACTTGAACCCAGATGAGCCTTCAAAAATGTTCCCACACAATGTACCAGCACCTTCCCAGCTCTGCCCCTAGTTCCTGACCTGTACTGAAAAGGCTCTGGGCACAAAGGGAGCCATACCTATATGGTGTCAGGATGTTCAGAGGTGGTGGCTTATCACTCTGGTTGTAAATGTCAGCAACAGGATTAGGAATGCTGTTCTTTGAAACCACCTGCTGGTCTTGGACTGTGGAACTTTTGAAAGCTTTTTTCATGTTGATATCCTGTAGTGACACTATTTAGAGAAAAGTCCCCCAGTTGAGTTATACAGAAAAAAATCTTAGCTGTTTAGAAATAAGTACCAATTAACTCACAATCATAAACACCTCCCAGAATAACCAAATAATGGATGTTTTCACTGAAAACCCATGCTTAAATAGCATGTGCATTCCCTCCCTCTTAGAGATAAGTTATCTCTGAAATGAGGTCAAATCGCAGCTTTTTTTCTTTTATAGCAATCTAATTATTTCATTGAACCTGGTATTAGAGCATCATTCTTTATTTAAATAGCACTTCTCAGAAACCACACAGGAACATAGTTATGTGTATAAAGGGCATGTAAATATGTATCTGAGTACCCTAAGGAAAACACCAGTTAGTAGTAGTTTAAATATAATACATGTGGGAAATACTTCTGCAAAAATCATCCAAGAAACTGATATTAAGGAAAAATGGCAAAGCTTTTCAACACACCAGTCCTAGAAATTAAGCAGCTTGATCTATGATATAAAATAATAGTAAGGAGTCGGTAATCACAGTTGGGCATAGTTCTTTGTTGTGTTTGCACAGCACTTTACATTTATTAATTCATCTGACTTTCCTACAAACTTTTGAGGTGGGCAAACTAATACTGTTAACCCACCTACTCAGCCACTGCAGCTGCCACTCAGGCATGTTAAGTTCCCAAGATCTCTCTGCAAAACAATGGCAAGGCAGAGATATAAGGCAGATTTCTTAACTCCTAGGCAAGAGTTTTTTCTACTCTAACAGCCACCTCAAGGAAATGAGGCGAAATCCTGATCAGAAAGGGATTTTAAAGATATGACATGTACGGACAAATCTCATAAAATTTAATCTCCAGATTAACTGTTTCCAGGGTAAGATTTATCATAAGCATTCCAGTTGCAAGAGCTAACAAAAAGCTAGAAGCAAGATGAATAAATATTAAAAATCACTTGCGATACTAATTTGAAAGTAAATGTTTAAAATGTTAAGAATTCCTTATCTGAATGGACCAGGTAGTTAAATTTTTATTTTTAATTAAAAACAAATTTTAAAAATATAATTTAAAAGACTATGTCTTTAGCTTCCTGCTAACTGAAAATCAGTAAGAACGTTCACAATGTATATTAAAATTTCAATGTTCTACATTTTTTTTGTAATTCACTAATTTAATTCTGACCTTTGAAATAGATCTGAACATAAGCAAACATATCTTTTTAAAACAATGAGGTATAAATTTCACAAATAACTAATTTAAAAAAACAAATAAAAGCAGGCCAGAGCATGGCGGCTCACACCTGTAATCCTAGTACTCTGGGAGGCTAAGGAGTTTAAGAGCAGCCTAAGCACCACTAAAAATAGAAAAAATTATCTGGGTGTTGTGGAGGCTCACTAGAACCTTAAGAGTTTAAGGTTGTTGTGAACTGAGCTGATGCCACAGCACTCTTGCCCTGGGCATAGATCAAATGAATGAATGAATGTTTGATTTGTTGCCACTACTACTACACAGATGTACTGCAAAAATCAATGTTGAGATTTTTTTTTTTTGAGAGAGAGTCTCAAGCTGTCGCCCTGTGTAGAGTGCTATAATGTCATAGCTCACAGCAACCTCAAAGTCTTGGGCTTAAGCGATTCTCTTGCCTCAGCCTCCCAAGTAGCTAGGACTACAGGCACCCACCACAACACCCGGCTATTTTTTCTCTATAGTTGTCATTGTTGTTTGGCAGGCCGGGGCTGGATTCGAACCTGCCAGCTTTGGTGTATGTGGCTGGCACCCTAGCTGCTGAGGTTCCAGCACTGGATATTGAGATCTTTTTAAAGCAGCAAGAGAAACTGTAATTACCATTATTTAAACAGTAAAGTCAAATCTTAACCTGAATATTTTTGTCCAAGTAAATATGAAGTGATATATCTCATACTTTTTTAGTGTATTTTTCAAGCCCAATTTCTCAGCCTTTCATTCAAGAAACTAAAAGTAAATTTTTTTTAAAGGAATTGCTAAACAGTCTGGATTTTATTGAAACTCACACAATTTTATGAGGTCTCATCAGTTAACTACACAATGCTTGTCAATATTAACATTATTTGAAAACCTGAAACTTAAAGGCCTTCATTAAATGCTATTTCTGAGAAGGTTAATAAAAATTTTAAAAAGCAGAATCTTTGTGATTTTTTTTCAGGCATCAACCCAAATGAATATCAGGTCGAAGGTTTTGGTCTGTCACACAAAGTGTGTATATTATCTTCCCTTTGGGCTGGAATATATATTTGAAGTGATTCTGTGATTTTTAGGTAAGAAAGTACTTTTGAAATAACTACTAGTAACTTAAACTAAGACTTAATACTGAATGCATTTGAAGTCTTTAAAAGAAATACAATACAATTGTAATTTAAGAGTATGAGGCAGATAAGATATGAATCTTTTTAACACTTATTAACCCGAAGTTGTTGGTTTTCCCTCTCACTATTCTTCTAGGAATAGACAAGATGAAATATCAGCATACTACCCCAAGGAAGAAGCGGTAATTACACTGCAATTAATTACTACCATCTTGTCAACATCACTTCTAGCTCACTGCTTTCCTGCAATTACCTACCCTCTTCCACCGTTGAATCCAGCTGGGTAACTTTGACAGCAAGGCGATCAATTCTGTCTTGAAGAGAATTTGCTCTGATGTAGAAGTTGTTAGCCTCATTAAACAACTCACCAAATATGTCTTCAGCATGTTTGCCTATAGAAGAGAATGCATGAAGAAAGCCATCTGTCAGGGAGCTGATGAAGCGGCCCTCACACATCCTCACCAGTGCTTATTCCTGTCAACACCCACGATTTTGTGCAAATGAGTATGAAAATCCAACAACACAGACCAAGGCTGTTAGAGTATTATAAATATATTAGAGATAGTCATGTAAATCGGAAATTGATCCAAAGTTGTAGAATTTTTAAATATCCCAGATAATATAGAATCGTTATTGCTACATGAACCATCACGTGTTTACCATTAAACACAACTTTTTGGGAAACAAACTGAGCTCTCATTTTGCGTGCTTTAAGTATAAAAAAATCGCAGGTACTATACTTTCCTTTTATTCCTCAAGATAATTCAACAAATCACACTGGCCTTTAAATTTAGAATTGTATCTCATTCACAGCAAAAACCATGTATCTCATACTGTGCCTGATGCTTCCCAATGCCATTACATTCTTCTAACTAATACTTGAAATCTAGGTATACAGTGCTGACTTTGGCACTCCCTAAAAACTGATAATTTGAATTCAGTTAAATTTTCCCACATAGCTCCCTTCTACAGTCTTGTGAGTGCTAGGTATAACCCCTACTTTTCTTTAAATGTATTGAACATTTCGGAAATTTTAACAAGATTTCCAGATTCTAACACCATTCCTTTATTCATTCAACAAATACTAAGAGCTGCCTGCAAAGCACACTTTAACTTCTCTGACACAGATACCCACCACTTCTATTTTTGTTTTCATTTTCTATCTGTTTATTGCTCAAATGATAAAGAGAACTTGAACATTCCAGGACAAAAACTCCACTGGACAAATAACCCTAAAGTTTTTGTTGTGCTTTATAGTTTGTATGTTGCTCTCATCGGCACTTTCTGTACTCTCTGCTACCATCCTCAGGGCTGTGAACTCTGTGAGAGCCCACTGTTTAGGAGCCACATGTCCAAGTTTTAGCCCCAGCCCTGTACATTGCCACCCACACACACTTATTCAATGAATGAGTGAGTGAGCGAGCCAGGGAGGTAAATGTTTTCATTTTCTAGATGACTAAACTGAGGATCAGAAAGGTGATCTGTCCAAATCCCATGGATATTAAGTGGCAAAAATAGATGAAACAAAAACTTGGCTGTGTAACTAGTTGTCTACTTTTATCTTATAAAATTTTCTTGGCTGAGGCTTTGCACCTGTAGCATAGTGGATACAGCATCCGCCACATACACCAAGGCTGGTGGGTTTGAATCCAGCTCAGGCCAGCTAAACAACAATAACTGCAACAAAAAAACAGCCGGGCATTGTGGTAGGTACCTATAGTCCCAGCTATCTGGGAGGCTAAGGTAAGAGAATTGCTTAAGCCCAGGAGTTTGAGGTTGCTGTGAGCTATGGTGCCACAGCACTCTACTGGAGGTGACATAGTGAAACTCTGTCTCAAAAAAAACAAAAAAACAAAAAACCTTTCCTGGCTGAAAGTCAGTAACTTTCATAAATTATTTCAAGAGATATACTTGATAATTTCTTATCTACTTAATGTAATGGATTAAAATATTTTACTGCTTAAATGGTTACTCCCAGATCCTGGGTAAGCATTTCTTATGAATTTAAAATTAATATAATTTCATAGATTCTAATTGTGGAACTGTCTTAACAAGAGGAATTTCCTTAGAAAATAAGAATGAAGAAATCAATAAACACATCTTCTAACCCCTACCAAAAAGGGGGGAGGGAAAACCAGATTTCAGTTTTCAGCTAAAGCAGTAAATTATTTCTCTGAAAGCCCAGTATTCACAGCATGGTTTTCCAGGTTCGCTTATAATTCTGTCAACAGTTTCTACTCTCACAATATGGAAAATTGTTCCACAAAGGCAAAAGAATACATCTTCCCCAAATGCTGTATGTTTTTAAACAGGTAACTATATATGGCATCCAGAATTAATGTGTGTTTACTGCCTAATGAACTATTTCCTGAGTCCAGACTTGTGTACCTAATTAGCTACCAAACATCTCCATGTTGAAGTCTATTAAGAACCTCAAACCCTGTACACAAATATGAATTCCTTTCACCTTAACTCCAACGTGCACCCACATTGAAAGGTATCAACCAAAATGAAGCCCAGGCAGAAATGCTGTCATCTGCAATCACTGGCTCCCTCTCCAGCTAACTGAACACCAAATCTTGTTCCTTCTCTCCCTACAATACATTATCTCAGACCCTCCCCTTGTTTCTCTCCTGCATTGCATCAGTAACTCTGTTTTTTCCGCTTTTAGACTCACTTCCCACCCCCAATCCATTCATCACATTACTGCCAAATGAATTTTCCAACAGAAAGGGCTGACGGTGCTGTTCCTATTGAAGAACTTAATTGCTCCCCACCACTGCAGGATAAAATCTAATAAGCCTCTCAGCCTCACATGGAAGGCATCTCATTCCTGCTCTCTTCATGCTCCAAGCAGAATAAACAACTTGCCACCCCTTCCCCTGCCTGGCTTCTCACACTCGCTCTGCACCCTCAGCTTCAGCCACCTTCGCCCTTTTTCCTACGATGATAGCTGACCTTATCAAGCTATGCCACTCACTGTGGCAGACCAAAGCCTAAGTGTTTTACCTACTTATTCTTTCCTTACAAATCTGCTAGGACCTCAGTCATCTTAAGCGTGACTGGTATTTTTGTTTTGTATATCTAGAAAGTAAATGAACTAAAACAAAAATAAATTTAAAAAATAAAGACTAAAATCCCTCTCACCACTTCATACCCATAAGTATGCTTACTACTAAAAAAACAGGAAAGTGTTGGTGAGGCTGTAGAGAAACCAGAAACTGGACACAGAATTACCGTATGTTCTAGCAATTTCACTTCTGGGTATGGGAGAGTGTGTGTGTGTGTGTGTGTCGATCTCCAAAAATGTAACTGCACGCCCATGTTCCCAGAAGCATTACTCACAACAGCCAAGAGGGGGCAGCAACCCAAGTATTCATCAGTGGATAAATGTGTAAACCAAATGTGATATGATGTACAATGGAATTTTATTCAGCATTCAAAAGAAATTCTGACATATGCTACAACACAGATGAACCTTGAGGACATTAACCCTGTCATAAAAAAAACATACTCCATGATTCCACTTACATGAGGTACCTAGAACAGTCAAAATCAGTGAGACAGGCAATAGAATGGCAGTTGGCAAGGGCTGGGGAGAAGGGGGAATAGGGAGTTGCTGTTTAATGGGGGCAGAGTTCTGCAAAATGAAAACCGTCTAGAGATCTGTTTAACAACAATGTGAATGTATTATAGTTAACAGTACTTACTGGACCTAGGACGTTTGTCCCCTCTAAATCTCAAGTTGAAATTCTATCCTTGATAATGAAGCTGGGGCCTGTGGAAGGTGTTTTGGTCCTAGGAGTGGATCCCTCATGAATGGATTAAGACCTCCTTCAGTGAGTTCTCCCTCTATTATTTCTCCTCTGTTTTTTTTCCCCAACAGAGCTGTTTGTTAAAAAGAGCCCAGCCCGTCCCTCCCCTCTCTCGCCACATAATCTCTGGGCCACCTCGGGAATCCTCCCCTTCATTGAAAAAGCCTGAGCGCCCTCACTAAAAGCTGAGCAGATGCCAGCACCATGCTTCTTGTACAGTCTGAAGAGTCATGGACCAAATAAACCTCTTTTCTTTATAAATTACCTAGCCTCAGGTACCTTTATTGAAAAAAAAAAAAAAAGAACTGCACAGCAACACAAAACAGACTAACATTAAAAGTTGTTTACTAAATGTTAAGTTATATTTTACAATTAAAAACCTTTTAAAGCTTAAAAAGAAATTCATAAAAATGTAGCATTCTGAATTGAAAAAATTCTCTCCTCTCCCTTTCTCAGACCACACTCTTTTGTCTCCTCCCCTAGCAGGGAGCTTCCTCAGAGCCCCCCAGCCGCTGTGCCCTACGGTGGCCCTGCCTACCATCCTGATCCCTGCACCAGTCTGCCACTGGCCAGCTGAGAGCCAGCTCCTCCTGCAGCTTCCTCCCTTCCACACTGGAAAGTTCCCGGGAGCCCAGCGCTCAAGGTCTTAGGCTTTTTCTCTTGTTTAACAGTTCTTTTCGCTACTTAAAAAAAAAAAAAGCTAATTATTTCTGCTTCTAAACCTAGTGTTTTAACATTCCCAAGAACTCCACTTTTAAAAATTACTCACACACAAAAAAACTACGTGTTAAATATTCCAACCTCTTCTCTATCAGCATTCACTTGGGCATCTCGTCTAGTCTAATGGTTGTAAACACTCCCACTATCCTGATCTCCCCTAAATTTCTGTTTCCAGATGGATCTCTTTCTGAAAGGCAGACTCATACTTAGTAGATCAAACTCCCTACTATACAACATCACTTGGGTGCCTGCAAGTCCAATAACCCAAAGTTAGCCTCCCAGAACAGAATTCCTCATTTCCTCTCTGAAGCCTACCCTCTTCCTGTCTCTCCCCACCCGTGGAAAGTGCCAACTTTATTCTTCCTATTGCTAAAGCCACAGACCTGGTGTCATCCTCTCATTCACCCTCACCCATGCCAGCCCTCCAGCAACCTCTATCAGATATTTATGTTTTCAGAATGTATCTGGATTCTGACCTCTCTGAACCACCTCCTGGATCCCCCCCTGCCCAAGTCACAATCACCTCTCCCGTGGGCTCCCTGCCCCAGGGTGAGTCTCCCAGCTCCCCTCACAGATACTCAGTTCACTCTCAACCTGGTAGCCTCAGACATCTTGTCAAATCTCATCTCAGATCTGGTTACTCCTCTGCATTTCTGAAGCACTTCCAAATGCCTTGCTTTCTCACACAGAATAAAAGCCAAGGGCCCTGTGACTGCTTGTAAGGTCCTACATGATCTACCTCTATTTACCTTCTGCTGCCCTCTCCCTACTTAATCTCAGACATGCTAAGCATACCCTCTCTCCCCAGGCCTTTGCACTTCCAGTCCCTTCTGCCGGGACCATTTCTGCCCAGAGAC